AAATGTACGAGCCTCGACGTCCTTAAAAAAGCGCTACAAAAGAAAAAAAGAGCATTACAACCACAAAACTTGATTTCTTAAATTTTTTTTTCTCAAACGTATTTTCGGACCTCTGCCTGAGAGTAAGAAAACAGTAATCAGTGTCTCGTACAGCAAAGAGATGAAGAGCAAAGCAGTGGTCTGCTATAGTAAGTTCATATAGTCCTTGCTCCCTGAGAAAGGCAAGTTGGACAGAAAAGGAATCTTGCTCCTCAGCACAATTTCGAAAAATAGCTAACCTTTGAAAATGGAAATTCTACATGACTAAGCGGTGTGTCCTTTAGCAAGGCGCATCAATTTCACAGAGTCTCTGTCCACAAAGGAATGCAAATACGAACCAGCGAACTATTAGGGATACCAAGGGAAAACCCAAGATGGGTTAACATCCTATCCTCTTTTCTAATGCCATGGAAATCGCGACAATCACAAGCAGTCTGGATTTTACACCTTGAATGCCAGACTCTAGGTAAAACTACCACCGACAAGAACATGACAATAGCTACTCCAGTTTCACCTCAAAATTTCCGCCCTTTTATAAAGCTCCGCCAACCCTTCCCCACTTCTGACATCCCAGTCATACTGAAGCGAGATTAGCCCTCCTCATCCCCTTGGGGACACACCAAATATATATATATATATTTTTAACTAAAACTATATTTTTCCACCTTTATACAGATTTCATTTCATGAAATTATTATCAATGGAGATTTGAGAGGAGAAGCCAGGTACGTCGTATATGGTGCAAAACCGAGTGTGATCACTTCAAATATAGAGTCTGCTACTCTTGTGATTAATTTTATATTTTTAAAAGAAAAGAAATGACCAAAGAGAAAAATAAATTTTTTTGTTCGATATAAATCTTTTATCATATATTTTGTAACTACAAACCTATCAAACATGACCTAGATTGCCCAATTATTTGAAATGAATTTTGGCCCTAAATGGTAACCGTTGCCGAAGTGCGACAACATTTGGACTTCAATGCATTAAGCTAGTTCATGTTGATTACATTAGAACGTAAATGTACTAACTTTACACTAGCATCATTAATGACGCAATTACAGCGCCACGAACCATCGCACTGACTATGGCAATATAACCACGTGATCTGTCGCGCTATCAGTCGCCCATTGATTGCATTCATCATCAACCAAGTGGTCAGTGGAGGGCAACACCCACTTCACTTAGGTAATACATCAGTCGTGTAACTAACTTAAATGTGATATGAACTATTTCCAGGGATAAGTCCATGACTTAATTTTGATCAAAGAGTACCCTTCGTTTTAACGCTACCCGCAACTATATTCGCGCACATAGCTTAAGCATACCACTGCAGAAAATTTTGTGTCTACTCAGAAAGGACAAAAGGGATAATTCTAAAACAAAATTAATAAATTTAGTATATTATCTCAATTGCAAAAATGAGTAACAGAAAGAAGAAGAAGAAAGACATTAACAACAAAGACATGAGACATCTATATGAAAAAGCTCATGTAGTTCTTAAAAGAGAGAATTTCACAATTAAAGGTATCTGCACTCTCAACGTATTTGTTGTAGGTTAATGATTTTCCGCACAATAACTATTTACTATTGCATCCTGGCTGATCACGTAATGTTGCCACTCTTGACCACTCTAAGGAGTTCATGAAATTGGCTTAAAATTATTACAATAAGGGTCACATGTCTTAAAAAGTTGTATTAGAATAGGTGTGACCAACATATGTCAATTGATACGAGCCTTCCTCAACTCGGTGATATTCATATCGGAGGGCAAAACGAGTTGTTAATAGGAAAAAATTTACCTAGGTAATGATAATTCAAATACACACATATTCACAACAAAACACAAAGTTCAAAACAAGGATCACTTGGCATTCTTTGCAAGAGGCATCGCAATGCATCATTTAAAGCCATATTCCTTCGGAGCATCTTTACATTTCATGGTCCACGATTTACTTTGGGTGAAATAGCTTACTATGTCATAAACAAAAAAACGGCCTATACGTCTATGGCATAATCGTATTCTCGTTATGGCCGGATCTTGAAGTTGCGGCAGGCTTCGACGTTGTCGATCGTTTTCCCCACAAATTACAGAAACAAAATACAACATAATTTTTTTCTTAAGTGTTTTTCCTCAGTGTATTCTTTTGTCGGGAAAGAAGAAACTTGGAAGCAGGTTTCTTATATCATTTCTTTTGTTGTTAGTATTTCTTTGGTGCTACTTATTTATATTAAATTCTGTCTATGGGCAAATGAAACACCAAACAAGGGATTTCTGTCAGTCCGCTTGCTTCCCCCAGCCTCCCTCTCCCACTGACATTACTTCTGCTGTTAATTAAATAGGTGATACGGGTGCTGATACGAGTTTCCTAAAGTCGAAGAGATGTAGTAGGCCCGATTCTTCCACGGCCGACAGTTAATTTTTAAGGCATTTTACAGTTGACGTTTATCAGGAAGATATATTCCTATGAGTTAAATTATTAATGATAATTTGATTGATCACAATTTCCGTCTGCAAATCTCTGGTACTCGGCCTATGTTTACGTATCAGCTAGTTTTACCTGTTTCACTAAATTTAGCTCGGCAAATACCTAGGATTTTGTTTAAGGGGCAAAAAGACACTCTGAGGTCGTCTCAATCAACGAAATATCCCTAAAATACGGGCTCGATAATTTGGTTTACATTAAGCACTTGGCCACGAATGAGATCCGACTCAAAATATTGTTTTCGTTACCGAAAATTTCACAAAAGAAAAACGACTCACAAGATTGAAGGCGTTTAAAAATTGCAAAATGTCTCATCGCTGTTATCTTTTGTTTGTTTTGTTCATTAACCTAACCACCTAACCGCTAGATAAATATCTCATCAGACAACGAACGGAAAACTCAGAGGAAGAGTGACGTCACGCCCCAGGCACTGAGATATCACGCAAGATCTTGTACACTTTATTCAAGTCATCGAGGCACCAAGTCGTCGAGGCGAAGTAAACATGGCGGCTGCTCGCAAGATCCCAGAACTTGGCGGATATGATTACGAATTCACGGTCCAAGTTCGTGGTAACTGTGAATGTCTTGTGTGTCAATTACCAATGAAAGATCCAGTTCAGATTGTAGGATGTGGACACAGACTTTGCTTCATCTGCATGGAATCACTCTTGCGGTAAATGTAGAAAACATAAAATTTGCACAACACTGCTAGCAGTTTCACAAACCGCGAGTCTGCTCAAACGTTTACAAACTAACAATACTTAAGTATCGAATTCGCACGCCAGTAATACAAACATCAAAGATTTATTTGAGAGTACGATCGATATTTTGCATAGGAATGTTTAAGAGTCAGTTTTCAAGCTAATTTCCATTCTTAAATGTGTTTGCTTGAGTGCGTCATTCGTTATTCATGGCCCAGGGCTTTATATGTTTTCCTACTTTAAAAAGTGATACAATCTCTCTTCCCTGATTGACCATCAGAAGCCCTTCACCGTTGTGCCCAGCGGACAGGAAGCCATTGTCACGTGACAGGGTAAGAGATTAGACGGTTCACGCAATGCTATCCATGCTTTGTAAAAAGACTCGAATTTACGGTTTTGCCTTCCTATAGATGGTCTATTGAAAACTAGCAGGCTTGGATAAAATTAAAGTCAATATGTCAGAAGGTGTCCTTCATTCAGGTTGTAAAAAATCCCATCACGTAACAGTAAAAACGTTAAAACTAGTTCCAAGAAAACTATCCATCTACTTTTTGTTGGAACAAAATTGTAGCTCGACGAAGGAGTAGAATTCTCGGTGGGCTCTCGATTACCTTATAAAAAGCTGGCTGTTGTATGTCTGGAAATGTTTTTAGAATAAATTTAGAATAAATTTTTATTTTGGTAGATGTTTCCAGATTCTGCCTTTCATCAGAGGTACAACTAAGGCAGAGAAAAAAAATTACCTTTAGCCAGAAGACAAGGCATTCAATGTCGTCACAGGACTTAAACTTGCGACGTTTTAACTTAACAGACACAATCCTAACGATAACTATTCTTACCAACTTTCGTCTCCTCTATCGTTCCTTCTACTCAATCCTCCCTCATTCGTTATCTACGTATAAATTTTTAGCCTGAAATCTCTAAAACATCAATTCCTTTTTCAGTGTGGCCACACAGGCCATATGAAATTTGTGATCAGTCTCTACTACGTGATAGAAGATTAACCATCTAAAATTTGCCTCGCTCCCTGAATTTTTCCAGGCCCTTTTTCTTCAATTGCTTAAATTGCTGTTTAACTGCGAGGATTATTGCTTTACTTGGGTGAGCGTAGAGCAAGACTTTCACAGCACACCTTTCATATGTTTTGAGAAAGCTAAGGCAATATGTCACCTACAGAAACACCAATCCGAATGCCTGTTAAAACTGAGAAGTGCAGTGTTCAAACCCAGGTTGTACAGAGAAGCTGCCCCAGCAGGACATGTCAGTTCACGTGGCATTCGAATGTTCCTGGAGAAGAATAAATTGTGAATATTGTCAAGAATCAGTCCTGTCTCATAAAAAGTAGGTATGCAGATATCATCAACACGTCATCTTGATTCTGTTGTTTTTTTAGGTTTCAGGGCGATACATTCCTCACTTAGATTGACGAGATCATTGTCCGTAATTCCATAATGACAATTACGGGCCATTGACGTTCAATACGGGAACGAAAGGGGATTCTTTTATAATTATAAACATAAAGGAGGAGCATATCCTTGGCACCACATAACATCATCTCTGCCTTGACTCAAATTATAAGTTTTTGTTTTCTTGTTTCCACCATTTCAATGAAATTTGAAACGTCACGCGAGTGTGATCAAGGCGTTTTAGTGCATTTTAAAGGCGATTCCGAAAGGCTGTACGGAATCTCAAACTGTGGCAAGTGCTACGTTTTCATATTTTTATCATGTTGAGCTACATCTTTAATATCAAAAATGTTTGGTTCGGAGTATGCTGCTGCTTTAATTTGTGTAGGTAGCTTACTTGTTGAGAACATTTTCTCTTTTTTGACAGCCAAGTTTTTAATTATTTGCGTTAGATTGCCCTGCACTATTCGCGAGTTTAACCGGTCCTGGAGTGAAATGTGGCATCGTGCTCAAACGTGTTCTCTACTTTTGTCTAGAAACATTTTGATGTTTGCCAAAAGTTTCCAGTTCAGTGCACCAATAAGTGCGGCGTGAGAGAAATTCCACGAGACAAGGTTCGTTTGCATCAAAGTTAAGTGATTTTAATTATTCGAATTGGCTCACAGTTAGATCACTCGATAGGGAAGCTCACTTTCATTTTAACAATTTTTAAATTCGAAATGAAGGTCATTGATAGTAGCACTGAACGAGGGCTTTAGAAAATCAAGATTGGCTACAACAATTTTCTCCGAGTCTACAAGCTTTGGGTATCAACAAAAAGTAAGCCTGTCAAGAATTGAAAGCTTACAGAATGGTTTAGGAAGAATAGCTTAAGAAGGTTTGCAAGAGCATCAAAAGGGATGAAGAAGAATTTGGTTAATATATGAGTGGAAATTTACATTTCCATTGTTTCATGAACTTGGAATGCCTTGTCCTGTTTACAACAAACGAGTCATCGTTTTTATTGTTGTTTACAGCTTGAAGTTCACATTCGTGACCAATGTCCTGAAGTTGCAGTTACCTGCGAATACGAGAACCTGGGATGCAAGGCTATGGTATGGAACTGTTTTCAAACTTGATTAAACTCCATTCCTCATATGTTGTGAAGCAGCTTGTCAGTGTGAAACAGGTTTTAAACAGGTATTTAGGCAAATCTAGTCCGAGAAGGTTGTTTACCAAAGCTTAATCGAAGCTTGTACTGTCAGAGGGGAATCCATAACTTAAAGTATTTAATGTAGTCCCCAAGTTCAACGAGACTTTGATGCTTAAAATCAAGAATTAAATAAAAAACTCAAAGTTTCGAGTCTATAGGGCAAGAAAAGATAAATCGCGAAAAAACAGATTAGGAAGCGCAACTGAATTCAAAACTTTAAATTTTAAAAGATCTATTCCTTGATGCCTATAGTTTCCAAGATCAAACACCGATTCTCATTCAAAGTCCGAAGTTGAAGGTCATTTGAGGTTAGCCCTACATTGCCTTGAGGCCACTCGGTTACAAGTTCATGATCTTGTCAGCCTTGTCAAAGAACAATCACAGCAGATAGAGCGATTGATGTCCAGTGATCAAGAAAAGGCACAACAGATGGAGAGATTGATGGCTGAAGTTAAAGAACAGTCACTAGATGTTAAAAGGCTGATGTCCAAAGATCAAGAACACTCACAGCATGTACAATGGCTGATGTCCAAAGATCAAGAAAATTCACAGTATGTACAATGGCTGATGTCCAAAGATCAAAAAAATTTACAGCATGTACAATGGCTGATGTTCAAAGATCAAGAAAATTCACAGCATGTGCAATGGCTGATGTCCAAAGATCAAGAAAATTCACAGCAGATGCGAGCGACACCAAAGGATAAAGGAAAGTCAAAATCCAACTTCTTGGGGCGAATATTGCGCAAAGATCAAGAAATGAAACAACAAATGATAGCTCAAGTTAGGGAACAGTCAGAGCAGATAGAAAAGCTGGAGATTGCGAATGATCCATTTGTATGGAAACTGCCCCACTTTCATGCTCTTCTTGGCAAAGCAAAAACAGGGGTAAAACAAGTTTTACTGAGTGAATCCTTTTCTCTGTGGAAAAACGGATACATGTTAAGAATCAAAATGATGCTTGAAAAGTTTAGTGAATGGGGCTCAGTTTTTCTAAGTCTCTCGATCGTAAATGTCCCTGGAGAATTTGACAAGTCACTATCATGGCCATTTGTAGAAAAAATACACGTAGCAATAATTGATCAGAATCCATGCAAGGAGGAGAGCGATAACAGTTGCATGTGATTGACTTTGGACACAAACGCGACCGAGCGACTTTTAAAGCTCCTACGATAACCGGTGACTGCGAATTTGGTACAATGTTTGCCTCAGCAAATGAGTTATATAACAGATCTTATATAGTTAACGATACTGTTCTCATCACAGCAAGTACGGAAGAGGACAAAGTTCAGCCTTCATAAGAAGGGTAATGACTTAAAACCCATTCATACTAGAGCTTAAATATTTTTTAAAGCTGTACGTTTTGTCAAACACGGTTTAAATCTGTTTGGCCCTTATTTTATCTGACTTTGAAATAAACGTTGACTTGAAACCTCATCTTGTGTTTGTTGTTATTACGCAAATGGTTTACTGTTATGGCTCCGGCTCACGCTTTTACAGTTGATTCAGTCCACTTATGTTTACAAAGGCTTGTAGAATTTTAAGTTAAAGAGGTGGGTGCTGTCCGGTAAATATGTATAAATAATGTAATGAAAGGAGTATATGTCTATGGTATGAATTTGGTTATAGTCAACAAAGAATCTTGAAATATTTTTTTGCCTTTTGGTTCATCATAAAACGCTTCGCTAAAGCGACAGCTGATGATTAAGTGAATAGAAAACAAACTTCACCTGATAACCTTCCGGAGATCGAGGACGGATGGCTGTTTTCAGTCAGTCGAGACATTTCGACTTTTGATGCGCACCTTGTTGCCTTAGGCGGAAAGAAGATGTATTTGAATCCATTCGGAGTATCTGTATTTTTGCGGTGAAAGTGTTGTCATGCTATTTCACCCTTTCTAAATTTCGATCTAAGTGAGTGCGTTGATCTCTTAGAGGCGGTGGAAGGGATCGAAGAAGAGGTTTGGGCATCCCACTTTCCTTAACCATTTAGCCCCTGAGTGACTAGCATCTAATTTCTCTTTACAGTATCACCCCTGAAACAAACATGAAAGTTATGAGAATAGAGAAGATGATCACCAACTAAAGCAGCTCTTGATTGTTCAACAAATTCTCTTCGTCAGCCTCTTTGGAAATGTATGGAGAACAGTATGGAGAATATGCATTCTGATGTTAGGGTGTAAAGGGTTAAACCGTTTACACCCTAACATCAGTATTCATATTCTCTATACTATTCCACATACTTGTTTAACAATCAAGAGCTTCTTTAGTTAGTGATCACTTCTTTTATTCTCATGACCTTTATGTGTGATTCAGGGGTGGTATTGTAAGAAGAACTAACATGTTAGCCACACTTATGGGTCAAAAGGTTAATCTTTTCTCCAAACAAAATTCAACATCCCATGTAGGATCTATATCCCCCTTTAACAAAGAGGTTTTTTTTTTTATCTCTTTTAGTATCATAACCCCCCCCCCCTCAAAACACTTGTTCTTTATGACGTTACACGGATAGCCTGGAGAGCATGCGTAATTTTAGCAAGCGAGTTGCCTGGCGATTTCGTTGAGAAAATCATAGCTGCCTTCTTTGACTTTTTCAGCAGCGGTAGGCTGAGGAGAGAAAGAAATTTGTAACAAGGGGGTGAGTGACAGTCAAAAGGAAGGGGAGGTGAATGGTAGCCGGGTGGGCCTCACCCCGTCCACTCTAACTCTAAATCAGACATGAGAGGTCGAATGAACGATCGCGGGCTCGTAACGTCTACTCGCCCTAATTAGACGGCTGCTCTGCAAACTATTACAAGGATAAATACACATAAACATAACTTTTGGTTTGAATTAAACTGATATGATTATGCTACGTATTTAAAGAGTACACGTTTAACATCTTTTTTTTGCCAAATTTACAACCCCAACTCCCCACCACTCTACAACGGCCACTATCCCCTGTCCCCAAGAGTTTTGCTGTGCGTTCTGTCGGGAGAAAGGAAGAGAGAGGAACCTGGGAGTGAGTTTGGGAGATATCACGTCACCCACCTCAAATTTTATGCCCGTCGATAGCGAAACCAATATGGCAGCGAGCCAAACCGTACCAGAACTTGGTGGATATGACTACGAGTTCACTGTCACAGTTCCTGATAGATGTGAATGTCTTGTGTGCCATTTACCAATGAAGGATCCAGTTCAGATTGTAGGATGTGGACACAGACTCTGCAACATCTGTATGGAATCACTCTTGCGGTAATGTCGAATACAATTTTGCATGTGGTCATTACACTGGCATTTTACATTGTACAACAACTATATCTGAAACACAAAATATAATTGATCCACAACCTAAATATTGCATCTTCAGCTCACCCTAGTAATAAATACATTCTTGCAAGAGTTAAAAGGATTCAAAGTTCGAGATTAAGTCTTTATTTTGATTTCCTTGAAGGAGCAATAATCTGAATTTGAATAATTTATTTTCCCACTTAAATTCCATCACTGTACTCATTAAATTCTACTCATGCCACCACGACTATTGTTTCCTTTCACAATTATGGATTGTGTACTTAAAAAAACATTTCATTTCTCTATCTCTTCACTGACTGTCTACAGACGCCCTTCGCCATTGTGTCCAGCAGATAGGGAACTATTGTCGCGTGAGAAGGTAAGAGAGTTTTGATGTAAACAAGTCACGCAACCGCGTGTAATATGGGGGGAGATAGTCAGGTAGCCTGAAGCAAATCCCGTTTTCTCTTGTCTGTTCTATCATCGCTTCACGTCATTTCTATCATCGTTTCACGTCATTTCTATTGGAATTTTTTTTCCAAAGAAACTCTCCGTAATATTCACTCACATTTAAGTTTCTTGAAGGAAACCTCTCGTTTAATTATCGAAAACGATCTTCATAGTTAACGTATTTGGTATTGATAGTTGAAGTATTTCGAAATATATCGGCCTTTTTGGCACTGGTATTTTGTGCCTACCGGCATGTTCAATCGTATGATGCTTTACAGTTGCCACCACCATCTCCGATTTCACGTGACGTTATAAAAATTCAAAATCCAAAATAACAAGGGCTATTACAATTTTACCTCCAAAAAACAAAACCCAAAAAAATCATATTTTGAAGAGGTTTCAGCGTCGCGGGGCTCTATGTTGTGAAAATGTACTGAGCGATTTCTAATTTCGTAATTTTTTGTCCCTCGACATTGAATCAGCGGCCCGAAAAGCTGATACGTACATAAAATATGATTTATCGTGTAACTTTTTGTACCATGAGCATGAGAAAGATAAGAAAATGTTTTAAAATAAATGTTCACAAGTCCAGAGTGCATAACGGGAATTTCAGATGAAACAAAAGCCAAAGTAGGAGCCCATATGAGGCCAACTGAAAGTATCAGCCGTTCTTACATTGCTTTATTACACTTGGACTTGGATTACTCCGATATGAATTTGAAATAATTCTTATTCTGGCAGATATTTCCAGATTCTGCCCATCGTCGCGAGATAATGGATCTGACCGTGAAGTGTCCTCATTTTGGATGTTCATGGACTGGAGAACTGCGTGCTGTTGAGGTATAACCGAGGTGTCTGATATGAAAAAAATTTAATTATCTACGACCTTTTCTTAAACAAAAATCAGTTTACGTATCCTATTCTAACATTTCAGTCTATTGAAATAAAATCGAAGCGGCGGACTTCTGTTCAAACGTACTTTACGAAGACGGTGTTAACGAGGAACGTTAACGTGACATGTGCAAAGATCCAGCATTTTTTTTTAAGATAACACAAACAATTTTTTCAGACTTGAACGCTGAAAAGCTAAAATAAGGATTTTCGCACTTTTTTCGGAACTAAAGTGAAGGAAATCAGTAACAAGGCCGCAGAAATTTAATTTGTGATGACCATAACTAACGAAACTTAAATTTAGGCGGGCTAGTTCAATTGGGCCTTCAGTTGATTTGAAGGAATTATTTATTTCCTATTATAAAGTATCTATAAAAACTCTGTCTTTTACATTTGTAGAAACACCAGTCAGAATGCCTGTTGAAAGAAGTGCAATGTTCAAACTCAGGATGTACAGAGAGGCTTACCAAGGAAGACATGATAGTTCACGAGTCATTTGAATGTTCTTGGAGGAAAATCAATTGTGAACATTGTCAAGAATCATTCGTCTTTCATGAAAAGCGGGTATGTAGACATCCATATAAAAAATGAACTTTCAATAAAATTTGCTTAGACCCAATTATATTGCTAAGTTGTCAGCACGCCAAAGGGTACTTTCCATATGCCAATGTCTCTCCCAAAGCTGCAAATCTTTTCCAGTGTAGAGCCAGCCTTCAATTTACGTAATTGATATATTTACACATTTCACTGTCTTCCTCTATGAGAACGTTCAAAAAAGAAAATGTTCCAGCCACACTTTTACTTTGGATTGTAAGGTCCCCTTTCCCTCATAGCCATTCTTTGGGATGTCAGGTAACTGTTCCCCTTCAACTCTTGAGGTGGGCAATGCGTGACAATATGGCTACGAAGGTTCCCTGCGTTCAAAAGTTTTTTATCACATAAACTGCGGTATTACACAAGGATTTCCAGCTCTGAGAAAAGCTGTAACAACACACGTAAAAAAATACGATATAATTTTTCGGTGTTTTTGATTTCGCCAATCAGCTGCTGACACGTCGCTCGCCTTTCGCGCCACTCGGTCAGGTTGATGAATGAACGGCAAAGCCTTTACCATTCTCAATCCAAGGTCGTTTTACGGAATTATTGCGCATTATGGCTGCTAAAAAACTAAAGTCTCAATGCTTTTGAGCAGTGTCTTCAGAAAGTCACGCGAAGGTTTTACGAACTTTAAAAATTCATCGTTAATGATGATTAAAACTGATTGAAATCGGTATGTTTTTTGTTTCATTTGAGAGCCAAACTCATACCATTTTCGTCGATTAGTCGATGAGACATACGGTCATTAGCATCGTGTTTAAAAGTTTTCACTTGTTTTCACTTTGTTTTCTAAGGGTAATTTCCATATGCCAGTGTTTATCTCAACGCTGCCAAACTTTTTTGGGGCGTAGTGCCAGCCTGCAATTTATATAGTATAAAATTAATAATTTCTATATTAATATATTTGCACCGAAAAGCCCTACGGTTTGCCGCTTGTTAGTCCGGGATTAACACAGCATCGAATCCAAAAATTTTCACTTGTTTACCTTGTTGTTTTACTTGTTTTGCCAGAAACATTTTGGTGTTTGCCAAAAGTTTCCTGTTCAGTGCACCAACAAGTGCGGCTTGAAAGAGATTCCACGAGATAAGGTTTGTTCCAACCGACAAAGTAGACTTCACTGTCAGAAAAGGTAGACTTAAAGTAAAGGCAGAAGCTCTCGCTAACGATTTTGTAATCCGAGTCTAAGGGCTGGGAGTACCGATCGAGGTTTATAGAGATTTAGTTGTAGCCACGAGGATTTACTTTGAGTTCATATTCAGGCGACATTGTTTAGGATCATGGATCTAGCCTTCATAGAACTGAAAGTTTAAAGAAGGCTCTTGATATCATTACAAAGGTGCTATCTGCATGAATTTAGCTGAAAACTGAAAGCTGACCCTTAAGCAAACCGCAGGGGGTAAAGTTATGAATACATGATGCTTCATTTTGTTTATGACGAATGACTCAATTTTTGTTTTTACTTTTCTATAGCTTGAGTTTCATATTCGAGAAGAATGTCCTGAAACTAAAGTTAATTGCGAGTACAAAAGCTTAGGATGCGAGGCTGAGGTATGGACTTGCATGAAGATGCTTTATAGCATGATGCAACACAGTACAACAGGTATTACAGTAAAACTTTTACCGTGCTTCCACAAATGCTGTGATTTGAATGGCTGCGGTATTCGCCATCTGTTCTCTTATGGCGAGTAAAGTGAATAGCCATGGCAGGCTCTTTTTTAGTTCATTCTGCCAACGAACACACACTGTTAGACATTACTCCCTACCAATCAAATAATAGATTGCGAGTAGTGTAATTGCCCAATCAGATTGCAGCAAGTTTGATAAACCGCCAGTGTACTTATTCTAATAAACGATAGAAATGGCGAACTCATAACCATGTGGTTAATAAGACAGACATTGGACTGGTATTTAGTTGGAATACCCAATTATAGTCTTCACGCGCCCTGTTTTCCAGAAAGGTTCTCCTGCGAAGCTCTCAATACGCAAGAGCATACATTGAGATTGCAGGGTTTGGTTCTTTACAGTGGCTCAACAATGTTTACAACATATTTTGGCTCAAAAAGAGAAATTCATCATAACTCCCTTAATCTTGAACTGGAAATTTTATGCTCAGACTCAATGAGTGAATTAAAAAAGCTTTGAAACTAGATGTAACACCGGCTCAAAATTGATACCGTATGGGAATTACACAGATCCGCTTGTGAGGAATGAACAGGTATTGTAAGTTAACGATTGTGACTAAACAGACCAGACTCAGAGGGCGTAATACACCAGATTGTCGCCGGATAACTTTGACAGTACTGAAGTTCTTAAACTGCGTAATTTATCTTTATTTTTTGTAGTTTCCAAGATCGAAAACAAGTTCTCACGCAAAGTCCCAAGTTGAAAGTCATTTAAGCTTAGCCCTCCATTGCCTTCAAGCTACTCAGCTGCAGGTTAAGGGTCTTCTCAGCATAGTCGAGAACCAATCAAAGCAGATGGGGACAATGACGGCTGTAGTTCAGAAAATTGCGCATAAAGCCGATGATTCATTTGTCTGGAAGATATCCAACTTTGAAGCCTCCCTTGATGCAGCAAAAAGGAAAGGACGTGCAATAATGTTAAGTAAGCCGTTTTCTTTGTGGAAAAACGGATATATGTTGAAGATCAGATTAGAATTCAGAGCTCATCCCTCGCTGTCTAGTGAGGATTTCATGGAACTCAATATTGTAGTCGTCCCCGGAGAATTTGACCCGTTGTTATCTTGGCCATTCCGGGAAAAGTTGCGCTTAAGATTGATTGATCAAAACCCAACAAGCGAGCATGAGAGAACGAACTTATCGTATCTATTTAACTTTGAAAGGAAAGAAAATCAATGTCCAAGGCCTCTTACCGAAAAAGATGTCCTTGAATTTGAATGTGCTTATGTTGCTATAAGAGAGTTAAAAAATAGAAATTATATAGTGAACGATACTATTTTCCTAATGGTAAGTAATGAATAATACACCGATCAACTGTCCTGATAACTGTGGTGACCTAATCACCTGCATGCCTTTTGTATATTAGAAGTACATTTGTGCTTGTTGCGAACGATATATCCTTTTTATCCCTCCGGGCTCACCTGTCTGTCGTGGAAAACCAAAATCAACGTTCAGTGCGCTTGTCTCTTGTTGGTGGAGCGTAAATTTTCTTTTATTTTCACTCGAAAGCCGTAATACGAATGAGCAGTTTGCGGAATTCCTTCTGAGAGAGCTCAGGGTACACTTTTCTTAGTGGGACAGAAGTTTCACTTGTAGAAGATAATAAGGCTGGTAATAAGTAAGTAAAAATATTGGCTCTGTACACATTCGTATAGTCAGATAAATATTATAGCAAATTCTAAACAACAAGAATTTTTCATTTTCTATTACCATTCATGTTTTAGCCTTTGTTTTGGTCTAGAATTAAGATATAGTACACGGAATGCAGAAATGTATGCCATGAAAAGCTAATACGAACTTTGACTATTTGATGAGGTGTTGAAGAACTAAAAATTGGAAATAGGACCTATTTCCTGCTCGTGGGACGTAGAAAACTTTTTGCTTTCAATTATCATAAATTTCTCTTTTTTTAACCCTGTGTAGTGAAGTTTGCGGATTTCATTTTGGAAGAGCTCGATAGTTGAAATTTTTACTCGTGACTTGCAGCTTTCCGAGCTGCCTAGGTATAGGGAAAGGCCGCAAACTGCCATATGCTATAGTTGACATTTTTACTCGTGACTTGCGTACGAAGCTGTTAGGACGTGGATCACTCTTACAGTCGATTCTTGTTAACCTCCGTATGGTAATTGGTTTGGTATTGAGATTACGTCAAGTCCAAAGAGCGCTGAATAAAGATCTTTGTCGATGTCGTTGTCAGTGTTGTTCTTTATTTATCGGAATTTCAATATTTTTTCAGCTTTCCCCTGATTTATAACATGTCAGAAAACCGAATACGTGTGAAAATATCATCAAAATGTTTTTAAGGCTGTGGTGCGCGAGATCAAGCAAGGATGTGAGATCATGATAAAGGAAATAAGACAAGCTGACGTAGCCGTTATTATGATAAAACTATGAGTTTTTGTCTCGGTCCTCACCATTTGAATGAGACTTTGAAACATCATGCGAGTAATATCAGGCTTCAAAACACCGGTGTTCGAGGGCGAATTTTAAATAAATTTGAGAGGTAGTTTAAAATCTCAAACGGTTGCAAGTGATTCATTTTCAGATTTTTATCATTTAGAGCTACATCTGTAATATAAAAAATTTTTGGTTCGGAGCATGCTTCTGCTTTAATCTGTGTGGGTAGCTTCTTTGATGAGAATTTTTTCTTTTTGACAGTCAAGTTTTGAATTATCTGCGTTATTTCCGGTCCTCGAGTGAAATGTGGCATCGTGCTCAAACTTGTTCTCTACTTTTGTCTAGACACATTTTCATGTTTTCCAAAAGTTTCTTGTCCAGTGCACCAACGAGTGTGGCGTGAAAGAAATTCCACTAGACAAGGTTCGTTTGAATGAAAGTGATTATAATTTTATAATTATTTGAATTGGCTCACAGTTAGATCACTCGATGGGGAAGATTACTTTTATTTTGACAATTTTTCGAAGTCGAAATGCAGGTCAGTATAAGGAGAAATGATCGAGGGCTATCAAAAATCATGGTTGGCTGCAACAATTTTCTCCGAGTCTACAGACAATACATAAAAAGTAAGCCTGCCAAGAATTGAAAGCTTACAGAATGGTTCAGAAAGAAGGTTTGAAGAGCATCAAAAGGGTTGCATCAGCCCAAGAAGAATTTAGTTCATGTATGGGCGGAAATGTACATTTCCGTTGTTTCATGAATTAAGAATGCATTTTCCTGTTTACAACAAATGAGTCATTATTTTTATTGTTGTGTACAGTTTGAAGTTCACATTCGTGACCAATGTCCTAAAACTGCAGTTACCTGCGAATACGAGAACTTGGGATGCAAGGCTATGGTATGGAACTGCTTTCGAACTTAATTAAACGACCTTCCTCATATATACACTACTGTGCTATTTGTCGTTTAGTGGAGACAAAATGGGTTGTTTACCAAAGCTTAATCGAAGCTTGTGCTGTTAAAAGGGTATCCTAGGACTTTGATGCTCAAAATCAAGAATTGAATGAAAAACTCAAATATCAAATGATAGCTCAAGTTAGGGAACAGTCAGAGCAGATAGAAAAGCTGGAGATTACGAATGATCCATTTGTATGGAAAGTGCCCCACTTTCATACTCTTCTTGGCAAAGCAAAAACAGGGGTAAAACAAGTTTTACTGAGTGAATCCTTTTCTCTGTGGAAAAACGGATACATGTTAAGAATCAAAATGATGCTTGAAAAGTTTAGTGAGTGGGGCTCAGTTTTTCTAAGTCTCTCGATCGTAAATGTCCCTGGAGAATTTGACAAGTCACTATCATGGCCATTTGTAGAAAAAATACACGTAGCAATAATTGATCAGAATCCATGCAAGGAGGAGAGCGATAACATGTCGCATGTGATTGACTTTGGACACAAACGCGACCGAGCGACTTTTAAAGCTCTTACGATAACCGGTGACTGCGAATTTGGTACAATGTTTGCCTCAGCAAATGAGTTATATAACAGATCTTATATAGTTAACGATGCTGTTCTCATCACAGCAAGTACGGAAGAGGACAAAGTTCAGCCTTCATAAGAAAGGTAATGACTTAAAACCCATTCATACTAGAGCTTAAATATTTTTTAAAGCTGTTTTGTCAAACATGGTTTAAATCTGTTTGGCCCTTATTTTATCTGACTTTGAAATAAACGTTGACTTGAAACCTCACCTTGTGTTTGTTGTTATTACACAAATGGTTTACTGTTATGGCTCCGGCTCACGCTTTTACAGTTGATTCAGTCCACTTATGTTTACAAAGGCTTGTAGAATTTTAAGTTAAAGAGGTGGGTGCTGTCCAGTAAATATGCATAAATAATGTAATGAAAGGAGTATATGTCTATGGTATGAATTTGGTTTTTTTGCATTTCGGTTCATCATAAAACGCTTCGCTAAAGTGACAGCTGATGATTAAGTGAATAGAAAACAAACTTCACCTGATAACCTTCCGGAGATCAAGGACGGGTGGCTGTTTTCAGTCAGTCGAGACAGCGGAGTGACAAGCATCTATTTTCTCCTTACAATATGACCTCTGAAACAAACATGAAATTCGTGAGAATAGAGGAGATGATCACTGACTTAAGCAGCTCTTGGTTGTTCAACAAATTCTCCTTGTCAGCCTCTTTGGAAATGTATGGAGAACAGTATGGAGAATATCCATTCTGATGTTAGGGTGTAAAGGGTTAAACCATTCACACCCTAACATCAGTATGAATATTCTTCATACTATTCCACATACATTCCCTAAGGTTCTGAAAAGGAAAAATTGTTTAACAATCAAGAGTTTCTTTAGTTGGTGACCACTTCTTTTATTCTCATGACCTTTATGTGTGATTCAGGGGTGATATTGTAAGAAGAACTAACATGTTAGCCACTCTTATGCGCCAAAAGGTTAATCTTTTCTCCAAAAAAAATTCAACATCCCATGTAGGATCTATATCCCCCTTTAACAAAGAGGTTTTTTTTTTTTTATCTCTTTTAGTATCATACCCCCCCCCCCCACCCCCTCAAAACACTTGTTCTTTATGACGTTACACGGATAACCTGGAGAGCAGGCGTAATTTTAGCAAGCGAGTGCCTGGCGATTTCGTTGAGAAAATCATAGCTGCCTTCTTTGACTTTTTCAGCAGCGGTTGGCTGGGGAGAGAAAGAAATTTGTACCAAGGGGGTGAGTGACAGTCAAAAGGAAGGGGAGGTGAAGGGTAGCCGGGTGGGCCTCACCCCGTCCACTCTAACTCTAAATCAGACATGAGAGGTCGAATGAACGATCGCCGGCTCGTAACGTCTACTCGCCCTAATTAGACGGCTGCTCTGCAAACTATTACAAGGATAAATACACTGAGAAGATCTCTAAGTATTTTCGAAGGGGAAGTACATGCCACAATTGAAGCAACCTGTTCTGCACAGCTTTTACGCACCAGAAGAATGAAACTGGCTTATTTTAGTCACCATTCACTTACGGAGACATCCATCCTGGTTTCCAGTGTCCTCTCTCTTCTCTCCTCTGGGAAGTACACACGAACCTTGACAAACGCCGTTCTTTTTACAATTCTGTCTTTTTTTTCTCCTACCGGCCTGTCGTATATGAATTCTTGCATAAACCTCTCTGTAATGGAAACAGCCATTGAAAAACGGGCTTTAGACAACAAAAATAAATAGATAAACGAAAAGTCACGACAACAGCCACTAAATTACCATTTGACGATAATTGTCCCTGAATCAGTGACATCTCGCTCGAGCAGAAAACATTTTGGAGCTTCATTTCACAGAGGGAGGAAAAAAATATGTTTACAATACCGACAGCCAATAAAATCTTCCACGAATTGAAGGACTCGTCATACCCTACTCCTTTTGTTTTGTTTAAGCTTATCTTGTGGACAAAACATAACTTTCGGTTTGAATTAAACTGATATGATTATGCTACATATTTAAAGAGTACACGTTTAACATCTTTTTTTTGCCAAATTTACAACCCCAACTCCCCACCACTCTACAACGGCCACTATCCCCTGTCCCCAGGAGTTTTGCTGTGCGTTCAGCATGATCTCGACACCAAATAACGATTATCGTTATTTCTTAATTGGCCCTGAAATAACGAATAGCATAATTTCAGTGCATGTGTGAGACCTTCAGGGAAAGATAAAATGGCGGCTTACGGCGGCGAAGGAAATCTCAGTAGTTTAATATTTTAGCGTGAAAAGGCTTGGGTGTTGTGATCTAGTTCTCAAGTAAAGTAAAAAAAAATCACGGTCTGCAATGGCACTACCACCTTTTGAACAACAAGAAAACATTGAAACGGTGGTAAAAAGCAGCAAGTTTCGAAGTCTAAACGAAAGATGGGTAAGCTGAGTTTCAGTCAAATATCATGACATTTGGGATGTAATTTCGATACCGAATAAATAGTTCTACATGGTTATACACGCATAGGATTCTGTTGTGTTCACGTGAAGGCCATTCCAGCCATTCCTGCCACTTGTAAGTGGCAGGAAATAAACGATATGCATACTTGTTTCGTATTGAAGCCCTGTGAAATCACAAATTTGATTTATTTCTTCTTTGTTTTAGGTGGTCATTATCCATTATTTTTGGAAGTCGATGCTGATGAGAAAGAAAAAATGTTTACGATTATTTCTTCTCTCGAACATTTTACTATTTAGGTACCAAATAATCTTGATACTGAAGATCATTGCATCCTATTATGAAAAAATTACCCTTGATTGCTTTGTCAACTGGAATGTATAATGTAATATACCTTGTGATTTGTGGGATTTTCACATGTAAACTAGAAATACTTGAAGAGGGTAATGATGTACTTAATGCAGAGCATTTGGTACAAAGGCTGCTTTGCGGTAATCTACCTGAAGGTGCTTTTTATATACTAGTAAGACTTGCACAACCCAGTCAAAATGTTTTTTAGTAGTAGACAAGCTGGCTGTAGTAATTATAGGCAGCAGAGGCCAAACCTCTTCCTGAAAAGCAGTCTGAAAAGTGTGAAGTTAGCGGAAGGTACTTCATTGTAGGCGGCCAAATTGTAAGCTGCCAGCCCATTTTGAGTGAGCAGTAAAACTCAAGATTGGATATTTTAGCTAATTTTATTGAGAACCAAATTCCCAGCAACGGGCACATTTTTACTGGGCTATTTGTTATTTAACTACTTAGTAATGTTCTTATTAAAATTTACTGCATTCCTTTCTAATAATTTGCTGCTGATTGTATGCTGTATATAGCTTATGATTTGTGTGATTTTCACAAGTAAATTGGAAATACCTGAAGATGGTAATGATGTACTAGATAATGTACTTGATACAAAGCTATTTTGGTACAAAGTGTGTGCCTTGTCCGTAGGTGATTTTGCATGCTAATAAGACTTGTAATTCAAATAATATACATCAGCTGGAGCGGGAATATTAAAAGAAAAAAAAGAATATTTAGCTATACCAAGTTCTGGTTTTATGTCCAAATTAAGCACTTAATCGAAGATCACTGCACTGCTCAGGTCCAGAAGGCTGAAAGAGTACTGTCTGCTGTTAGTTTGATTTTTGTCATTTCTATTAATTTATTTTATTTATCAATGTTTCTTTGAATTATAACTAATTGATCTCTTTCAATAGTGCAGGTTTGCTCGTGTAACCTAATCTCCCACATATGTATGTATGTATGTATGTATGTATGTATGTATGTATGAATGTATGTATGTATGTATGTATGTATGTATGAGCTCAGTCGAAATGTTTTTGAGTGGAAGGCAAGCTGGTGATAGTAATAGGCAGCAGAGGCTGAACCTTGTCTTGAATGGAAGTGTGAAAAGTGTGAAGTTAGCGGCAGCTATATTATGGCAGGCAGCCAAATTGTCGGCTGTGGCACATTTTGACTGGGCTGATTGTGTGTAGTATATATGTGCACTTCTTTTAGGGTGTTAAACAGGTTAAAGTACCAAGAAATCCTCTGTGATAACTTGATAATTCAAGATGTAAAAATTTTTAATAATAAGGTAAAGCTTGATCATTCTTAAGAGTTTCCATTTGTTCTGGAAATTTGGGGGAGAGTCAGGGGAGCATTATTTATACATTAATAATGTACATAAAAAGTAAAAACAAAGGACCAAGGTAAAATCCCAATTTGTTTTAAGAGTTGATTTTATTAAGAGAAAACCCTGGATATAGCTTGGGATTTGCGTGATTTTCACAAATTGCTAGGTTATCATGTAAACTTAATTTACAGGAACCTTGTTAATTTTCAGCTTCAAGAACACAAGTACATAATCTTTAGTGCAGCCCTCTTTTCTCCCCGCCATTATTCTAATTTTTTTTATCAAGTTTCCTTTTTCTTGTGTTAAATTAATTTATTGTCTTTACAGGTGAAATCTTAATATCTGCTAGCACAATTATCTC